TAGTTTATTTAACAAAATTAAGTGCTTATATAGAGGTGTGATTATAAAAAATGTGACTATATAGAGGTCTAACTGTATATATAAATTATTAATAATACATTTAAATATAGTATTTACAAAATAATTAATTATTAATTTTTCTATATACAAAAATTTATATATACAAATTATTAATAATACATTTAAATATAATATTTACAAAATAATTAATCAAAAATTCTCTATATACAATATTTTTAGTATAAATACCTTCTATACCTTCAACAGATCCATTTTTAGCTAAAATTTTAATATTATTTTTAGCTTGTACTCTCAATAAAGCAACATATAATTGTCCATGTGCAAAACAAGAGAAGGAAGATATAAACCAACATTAGGTATTGTTTGACCTTGAGCCTTATTTATTGTCATTGCAAAAGCTAAACGGATTGGAAATTGGTATCAGATTAATTGAAAGGATAATGTTGTATCTGATGGTTTTATTTGAATTCGAGGAATATATACTCTTTTGCCAAGATGAGTTCCAGTAATAATTTCAACATCAAGAACATGCTGATTCATTTGTTTAATAATTAATCTGGTACTATTACAAAGTCTATCAACAGGACTTATATTTCTTAAAAAAATAACAGGTGTTCCAATTTTTAATACCAGTTTATGAGAAGGAGTACCACTTGGAGTAAGTGTATTTAAAAATTTAACAGAAAAATGATGCTCACTATCTTGACTATCATCTTCAATAGAATCTGCAGATAAATATTCAGCATCTGCGGTAGGTAGAGTATTAAAAATTTGTTCATTAATAGCATCTACATTATCATTTTTATAAGAATTGCTCTGTCTCAAATATAGGCTGAATAATTATTAGTATAAAGTTTAGTATTAATATCTTCAAATAACTCAAATATTAATGATTCAACCTTTTCATCATTAAATACCATAACATCATCTAATTTAATAATATCTTCACCAATATTATCATAAGTTACTTCTCTACCTTCACCAATTTGTAATAAATATTTTACAAATCGACTTCCCTCTTCATCATTACTTTAAACTCTCAAATTTTATATTAATGCTAACTTTTGAGTAATCTTTTCCCATATATAAGATTTTTTAATAATATAAAGAAGAAAATATATAGTCATAAAAACTAAAATACTTATATCTCACAATTTACTAGAATGATTTTAATATTTTAACTGCAATTCTTATTACAAAACACTTCTTTACAATTTTTTTTTAGAAATTAAAAATAGATTTATTTAGTAAAAAAAAATTCTTTAAAAAACTCAAATTTGAAAATTCTAAAGATAATTAAAAAAAAATTTTATTATATATTGTTATTGAACCTGCATATATTTATAAACCTTGAACTAAACCTGAACTGAATATAAATATAACTTAAAAGTTTAATACTAAATCTGAACTGAACAAGATGCTTGACTTAAAAGTTCAATATTGAATATACTAAACTAAACCTAAATCTGAATTTAACCAATGTTTAGTTTAGTTCAGATTTATAAAAACACTAAATCTGGCACAGATTACAATAGTGCACTTTTTTTATATATATATTATAACTATAACTTCTATTTTTTTGTTTTTTTCTATCTTTGTTCTTTATATTTTATTCTTCATTTAGTGCACACTTTCTCTTTTTTTTTTTTTATATTCTTTTTTCTTATACTCTTTCTATATATTTTCTTTTAGTTTTTTTTTTATTGTAGATAGATTATAGCTTAGTCCTTTTGCCAAAATCCAAGTAGAAAAAAAATTTAAAAAAAAGATATAGTTGTAATTTTTGAAGAATATCTAAAATAATCTCTTTGTTTTGTATTGCTCCATCATGAGCTATTGTTAATAACACCTTCGCACCACCTTTTTTCCAAATTACATCATTGGAAGATGTTTCATTACTTCCATAAAAATAAGCTATAGACATCAATTGATATTTTATAGGATTGTTAATATATCTACTATGAGAAATTTTACAAATTCGATATGGAAAATATATTTCATTTAATTTTGTTATAGGATTCTGAGTTTCGTATTCGTCATCATCCCTATTCTTTTTTTTATTTTCTATTAAATATAAAAAATATCTTTGGATTTCTTTAATAAAATCGGTATTAGTATATTTGTTCACCCCTCTGTTTGTTAAATAATCATAGGCTTTTTTAATTTTTCTTTTCGTAATCAATAGGTTGGTTATGAATAATAATATCTCCTAAATGATTCCATGTTACTATATCTTTTGAAACATTAATATTACCTTCATTTTTATAATAATTTATTATTAATTTTTGATATTTTTTCGGATTAGTAGTTAAATGAGATTTACAAATATAATGTAATTTGTGTACAAATAACATGTTTGAAAAACTAACTAATAGGTTTTCTATTGAATAATTCATCTTTCAATCGAAGAGAATTTTATTCCTTGTCTAGGTTCTTTCTGACTAGGTTTTACTGCACTGTCTGATTCTTTTGTTCTTAAGTATTCACAATATTCATTTACAGTATCGAAAAAGCTTTTTAAATACCTTTTTTTATACTCTTCACTGAAAAAATCATAATACCCATTGGATGATTTGAATTTATTAACATGATACAGCAACGAAGTTTGAAAAATCCTATCTAAATTTTTATCTGATATTTTATTATTCCACAAATCTATTAACACATCTTGAAATAAAGATTTTTCATATTTGATATTATTAACCCATCTTAAAAAATATATTCTTTCCACATGTGTTATTTTATCAAAATCGATTAATGGATATTCTTTTTTATTTAAAGTGGTATAATATTTTTTATTTATCTCTAATAATTTGTAAGACCACT